AGATTGATTTAAAAAAAAAAAAAAAAAAAAAAAAGTTCATGGCCTTGGAGTTTGACTGACTAGATTGTTATATATAAAATTTCAGCTGAAGGAAGAGGCCACCCAAGAACCCTACCTTTCTAATTATAGTATTGGAAACAAAACAACCATAACAAACCCTTTTTAAGTATTCCTGCACAGGTATAAAGAAATGATGAACAATAGCCATCTGGCTGTTATACTCTGAGGAGAAAAGGAAAAGGAAGTGAAGAGAAGGGAAGGGAAAGGTAGAGAAAGGAAAAGAAAGGAGGATAAGACAGCATACCTCCATTAAGAATTGCATACTTTTAATGTTTGAGCCAAAAGGCAAAGCAGAAAAAAACTTATTGTACCTTTAGGTTCATTCATTCACTCAAAGAGTCAACAACCACTGGTGTTCCCCACTATATCCCAGGCCCTTTTTTCAGAACTGGGGGTACAAAGAGCAATGGTTAGGAGACAGACAAGTAGACGATCACAAAGCAACTATGAGAAGGGCTGGCTGCACACACACCTGACCAATGGGTTAAAGGAAGCAACCAGCTCTGAAGGACCTTCAGGCAGAAAGGATGAATGCGGTCTCTCACCTAAAGGGAGGATCATTCCAGGAAGTAGAACAGGGTCCGCAAAGGGAAAGAATGGCAAAGGGCACAGGCATTTGGGGAACGGGAAGAAATTAGGGCCAAATAAAAGTGGAAATAAGAAGACGGATGTGCAATCAAATAAGATTTCCTAAGGCTAATTTGTGCAGCGTCCATGAGCAAATTAGCAATATTGAAGACAGAGGCTGGGCCACAAAATACCTCTAGCATGACATTAACCCATCTTAGACCCTGAGTGTGCCAACATGTGTTAAAGGACGCTGTTAGTCAAGAAACAACCTTTTTACCCAAGTGATGGTCCCTTCAATAGGGATCCCAGGTCCCTAAGAATAAAGAAAGACAGAAGAACACAATTGGGTAGTGGAGTCTGGTTGACCCAAGTTCAAATCTGAGATCACCTCTCAGTTTGGTAACCTGAGGTAAGTTAACTTCACCAAGGTTCAGTTTCCTCTTAAGTAAAAAATTAGGAGCTAATACTTACTAAATAAACAAGTTAGTATGAGGATTGCATGAAATGACACATGTGATTGACAGGAAGGGAGGGGTCCAATATTTAGAGCCCACCACCCAGACAAAACATGAGAGTCCAATCACTTCCCATCCAAGCTGAACTCTATTCCAACTTGGCCAGGGCAATTCATTTAATGTCTCAGTTTCCTCTATTGAATTTGGAAGTGGGACCTCCAAGCCTCTTACAGTCCTAACATTCTGTCCAGTTTAGTGTAATTGTTCAGAGGGAGGCTTCTTTCCAACCTCTATTCTTATACCTTTTGGTGCCCCTTCTTCCACTCTAAATCTTTTAAAATTCATGGTGCCAGAACCTTCTAGTGTCTGCTTTTTGGATTTTTTGACAATGGCTCTGTTGTCTCCCTCCACAAGATTTGTTGAAAGATGTCCACAGGCCAAGGGCTGTGTTAAGAATGATACAAGCTTTATCACAAAGTCTATACAAATGAGGATATCAAGGCTCAGAATATTAAGCAATTTATCAAGGGCATGGAATTTAATGCTGGCTCTTCCCAGCTGCTCCTGATCATTATATGTTACACCATCTTTCCATCCTCTTAGCTGTCTCTAGTTTTGAGTTCTATCTTCTTATGGCCCTGTGCTGTGCTAGCTTAGCCCATAAATTACTTTGTATTAATAACATTATGTGCTACACCTGCCAGATGACATATGTCCATATTAACCAGGACCCATCATCTCTAAACCAACAGGGAACTCATGATGGGATTCTCAGGCCTTGCAGCTGATAGGTCAGGGTGAGATTCTAGGCACACAGGACTTTAACACATCTCTCAAATAACAGAACATGATCGAACAGCTACTCCATTTCCACCTGAACCTGCCAGAAGCTACAGCATTTTAATTCAAGCCTAAGATCTACAAGCCCCCCAGCTGCCATAAGTGTGCTCATATCATAGACAGGTAAAGGAAGAGGGCTCATGCTTTGAGATAAGACAATCGAGTGCACTTCAGTGGATTTTTTAGCTCCTCTGAGCTACCTATCCTCTAGATGATCTTGGGTAAGGTAACTCATCTGAGCTTCAGGTTCCTCATCTATAGAATTAGGATAACATTCACAACCTTAGAGGGATGTTGTAGGGATAGAAGAATGCTTGGCCTATAGAAGAAACAGATGAGCCTACTGGGAGAATAAAGGAGCTTAGGGGTGGTCAGGTTGTTTCCAAAATCAGAGTAGACTAGAGTAGAAAGACGGAAATCAGTAAAAGATTCATTAGACTCTAAATAGCTGCCGATCTGAGGACTCATGCTGGTTGAGAGTTGGATACCCTATTGTGGCATACGCCCTAACTTATCTGATCCTTGATTCCACACTGCCAGGCCGCCTGGCAGCTGTTGCTGGAAGTATTTTTTTCAGGTAGAGAGGTTCCCAATTGAGCCAATGGGTAGAGTGTAATCACACACCGTCTCTCCCTCAGAGCACCATGAGGTTTCCGGGGTAACCGCACTATTCTGGGCCTTCCCTGTGGGATCTCAACTCCTCTATCCACATCCCAGCGGGCTCCCTTCCTTTGGCCTTACATTGGGCACCCCCAGCTAAAACCTTGCCCTCCTGCCTCAGAAGATCAGAGAGGAAATGGGAAGAGAAGAAACTCACCAGGCACTTGGATCTTTGCATTTTATTTCCTTATCATATTATTTTCTTAGTTACGGCACATTTCCATTTATGAAGTACTTTACCTTATAAAATACCTCACTGTTTACTTCCAACCTACTAAATAATTCCTCTGACCTATTCTTGTTTATACCCTTTAAATATCTGTTGATGGTTCATGCACCACATTCCCCATTCAGTTATTAATGGGCCACAAAAACTTACTAGCAGCAATCATTTACTGATTAATCTGCACAACAATCCAGAAAGACAGGTAGTATTAATCCTTAGTTCTGCACAGGGAAACCAAGGGGAAAAGAGAGGTTAACTCCATTGGTCAAGGTCAGTGGCTAAATAAGATTATAACCAGGATCTATCTTGTCTTATATTTCTGTGAACACTTCCCACTGTGTTAGTCCCTTTCTTCACAAATCAATGTTGTCAATGCAGCCAGATCATTTCTGTGCTGAGGTTCAGTCATCACAGAACAGCTTAAAAATGTCAAAAATTCAACCCCAAATAATTTTGCCTGCTAGCTCATAAATAAAAGTTGCTAAAATTAAGCGATAGTACTCAAAGGCAAATTTTAAAGGGGCAAAAGAAAAGTGAAAAGATGTGGATTACAGACCCAGCTTCTGCCACAAGGGGACTCAAGAAGAGTCACTTAACTTCTCTACACCTCTGAGTCAGCTGTAAAAAAGTAGATTACACTGAATGACAATCAAAGTATGTTGTTGCTTTAAAGGAGATGATTGGATACCTATGAAACCAGCACAAAAAAAACCCTCCAATATCCAATGCTGCCACGACTGTGGTAAAATTGGTATATTCATTCAGTTAATAGAGTGCACAGCTACAACTCCCATGGAAAGCAAGATGCCAACAGACGACAAAACCAGAGAGATTTTCATATCCTTGACTTAGTAATTTAACTCATACTGTATTTTAGCTTAAGAAATAAGTCAATGGAAGCAAAAAGACATATACAAACCAAATGCACATTTCAGTGCTAGCTATCAGAGGAAAAACTGTTATCAACTGCAATGTTCATTTTAGAGGGATGTTTTAGTAAACAAAAGCATAGAATCATATGCATGTCATGTTGCTATTACAAAAGATAAACATGAAAATTAGGCAAAATCATTTAAAACCTTACAGTAGTATTAAATGAAAATAACCAAAAGTAAAAGAACAGACATGTACTCTGATGTCAACCATATAAAATGTGGATTGGTGTGTAAGAGCACAGAAAAACTCAAAAGAGTTATGTTATTAGTTATACTTATTAATTTTTTTAAATGTTTTAACTATTTTTAATGAATAGTTTTCATTAACATATACATTTGCTCAATAATTTAAAAATTTATGACCCTGCTTTAAAATTTCGACCTGGATTTCTGCGTAGTTTTTGTCGGCTGACTTATTTATTCATGACATCATTTTTCCTGAGTGATTTTTTTTCTTTCTACTATAATTCTTTACTATCTTTAGATATTTTAAAATCTCAGAATCCTTGCAATTTTTCCCCCTGCACCTAAATGGATTCTTACAAAGATCTGTCATCTAATCTAGCTATTAATAGCCAACCTCATGATTGCCTTGTAATGTTAGTATTTGGCAATGCCTAACCCAGGAATCAAGATGCTTCTGATAACCCTGACCAGTAACCATAAAGTTGCCATTACACTTTTCACAGTGCAGAGGGAGGTTTCATAGTCCAGGTTTTTGCAGTTGCACAGCAGGACATTTTTTTATTTTCAGGGGTCTTATATACATATTCCTCTGGCTCTCTTAAGAAAGCTGCTCTTAGCTACACTGTGCTAGGACCTTCCCCTTCATAGGCTTTTACACGCTCCTTCTCTCCTTAGAAACATTCTCTTGCTAGTAGGTCATTTGTACATCTTTGCTCATGATATCTGGGAAAGATTGCAGAGCCAATGAATTAAAATATGATTCTAGGTCTCTTGTGTGCCAACGAATGCCCTCATTAAAACAGAATGAGTAGATGAGATCGGTTTCAAAGCTTTCCATCCCTCTGCCCCAGAGCCGCCGAGGCCAGGCTCTGAAAGGATGCACAGTAAAATTAAATATCTAAAAATTCATCTTTAATTAACAGAATTGGATTAAAGCTAGACACCACGGCATATCATACGAGAAATGGCTGAGCTGGCTTCCAAGTGCTCTAATTCAATTAGGACACAGTGAGTGACACTCGGACGGGAAAGGTTAATTGGGAGCGCCAGAACGCAATCATTCCTTACCTAACCAGTCATTAAACTTCTTAACCTCTGAGGGCAGTCCCAGCTCGGTGAAATCGCCTGTGTGGAGAAGGATGTCCCCATAAGGCATCTGGATACCATCTGTTCTGGAGTGTGTGTCTGAGATGCAGACAAACCGCGTGTGGCCCGCTGGTTTTGGAGTGTCATATGGGATGGGGTCGACCCTAAAGTAGACATAACAGATCCCGTAACAGTTAAATATATTAGAACCCTCGTAATTGTCATCACACATACATACCGACTGTTAGCCGTGAAACGCACCCAGACAAACTGATACAAAGGCAGAAGGGACCATTGTAACGAGGGGACACTTTTGAGTGCAAAGGAGATATAGCATCTCCCATCTACAATCCCAATGAGCACATTTAAAAAGTCTTACTTACCTGATTTGAAAATTAAAAAGAATATCTTACAGGCAGAGGTGGAATTAATCCAGGAAACTGATAGAGTGATTAATGGTGAAGGTTAGGGATACTGAACCCCAATTGGGGAAGCAAAATTATGCTATTTTGTCTCTCCTCATGCTCCAATTGATCCCACTACTCATTAGGAATGAATAACTAATTTATTCCTTCTTAAACATGCATAAGTCAGGCAATGAACTAATTTACGAAGAACACGGCACGTGCTTTGCCAACTGAGATATGGAGAGACATACTAGATAGTACTAATACTTAATATCCTTTCCAGAACCATTTGTATTTCCAAGAATCTTAGGATCTTCTTGTGTTTGCTAAGAGATTCTCAAATCAAATTGTGGGAAGGGAAGATGATGCCAAAATAACAAAGCTTTTAAAAAAATGAAAAAACAAAAACAAAAAAACACACACATTCAATGGATGTTCAAAAATTTTATCAGCTCCTTCTTTACCACAATGAGTTATCTGCAGCCCCACTAACACCTGAGGCTGCTTAGAATGCCTTGGGCAGAGATTTGATTCAGTACAAAGTGTAAGCCTTTTAATGAGTGTCTAAAGATACACATAAGCATTAATATATGTATAGTTTTAGAGACCTAAGCACTGTGAAATTACACCAGAGCATAAGAATCAAAAGGCAAAATGATCAACCCGAAGCAAAGAAAATGAAACAGAACATTCTCATTTAATTGAGTGTAACAAAGTGTGCTAAATAAACTTGGTAAAGAAATGCAAATCTGGCTCTTCAAGCATACAGTTTTAATTATTTAAGGAGCTGGTAGCAGAGTTAAGGATGCTTTAACTATATTAACTCTACGCTGACAGCTTCCCTTAATTTCTCTGTAGGAATGCACACTTATTTTTGGATCATGGGTGAAGAGAAGCAGTTATAACTGTAAAGACAAGGTCACGAGAGAAGCAAACATGCAAAGCAGAGATTACCTTGCGAAATGTTAAGTAAGGACCAATATTTCATATCCCAGCTCTACCCTTGACAGTTAATATGCGGCAGAGAACACACGGAAAGTCAACATCAGAATCCCTATGCATCTTGCTTTGCAGGCTTGGTTTAATTTTCTTTCAATTTCCCACTTTTTCAAAAGAAAGAACCCATTTTAAAAAAGCAATTGTAGTGAGGGGAATAAAGACGTTCGTATACATCCTCACGGTCTTGCTTTTTTTTTTTTTTTCACAGTTTAACTTTTAATTTTATTTTATCTTTGACAGAGGAAAAAGGGAAGTCAGAAAGAAGGAAGCTTGAAGAAGACAGAAAGAAGTAAGGAGACAGGAAAGGACTGTGAACTGGTTAACACAGTGGATCTAACTGGAAACCCCAAAAGAAAGCTTACTTTCTGGAACAAAAACAAAAACAAACAAAACAAAACAAAACAAAACAAAAAACCCCCACAAGAATAGATGTTAGTAAAGGTTAGAAATTAACAATGTTGTTACCATGGAGAAAAGCACTAACCCACTGAATTTTGTAAATAACCTGGAAATCTTCCTGATTGTATCCAATGTTGATTTTTTTTTTAAATGTATGAAGAAGTTTGGTACCTACTTTTCCATTACTGAGACTATTCCAATCAATCCCATTGGCTATCATCTTATCACTACATCCTGTCTTCTAAAAGTAGTTCACTCAGAGAATGAATGATTGGGTTGTTCCTTGCTGCAGGAGACTGTGGCACCCTCTGAAAGTGACAGGTAATATTCTATTTGACCTACAGTTAGGATGCTCACCAGAATGGGACCACGCACATTTCTACTCAGCCCTCCCACATCTGAATGAAAATTAAATAAATTAACCATTGGACTTTAAATACACGAATCAATTCAATATTATGTATGTCTTTATTTTCCAGTTCCCCTCAGTAACTCAGATAAGCTACTGGCACAAGTAGTGCATCAAAATCCTTTAGGAGCCCATCCGAATTCATCAAAGGGATGTCACAGTCATCATTTTGAATGGATTATACAGACTGTAGCATAGATACAAACCCTTCACTGTAAACAGGCCCCTGTTCTATGAATCTACTCAATTTAAAGAAGCAAGTCATCATGTGGTACCTAATTTGTTTCCCAGCTTAGCTCTATATTGAGCAGTAACTTTCCAAGACTATTAGAACACCAATTATTGAATGGCTGCAACTTCCTTCCCCACGCTGCCACCTCCTCCAGAGAAACTAGTAACTATCCAACAGATTGAACATAAAATAAAGGCCAAGGAATAGAAGGAAAAACAAAAAAACAAAAACAGAAGGTGGAAAGTAGGGAGAAATGTCTTGTTATTGTTGAACTGAAATAAAGTGAGTCAGAAGTACACAGAAACAGTGGCAAAGAAGGCTCACCCATCACCACCACCAACTTGATGTCATCAAAGAGAAACCATTTGTAGGCACTTGGGAGAGATATGGAGGATTGATCTAGGTAGCAGACTGGGGGAGGGAGAGGCCTAAAGACACAAATATAGAATTTATATACATGCCCTGACCCAGAAACACCTTTGTTACCCACAAGACTAAGTACAAGAAGACAAGGCAGTGCAGCCTGTCAGAGTCAGGCTGCAGGATAACATGACAAATGTCACCTCGGGGGGTCCTAGGAAGGAAGACATTCCCACCCAAAGACATTCAGAGCTGCAAATAGGACATCTAGTGCAGTAGGCAAGTTGCTGTGAATATAATTAAAGTCGAGACAACCTTAGGGAAGCTACTAGTTCCAAGTTGGGCATTTGGTAAACACTTTGAAAAGTTCAGACAGACCAACATTTTCACTGTAAATGCGTGTGTAGGAGGGAGCCTGATGGCCATGCCACATTTACCTATGTATTCACATTGTGTGAGACCCTCCTGCCACATTTCCCCTCCTATTTAACATCTTTACTGCTTACTGTTTATGCTGCAGACTTCTCAAATGACCTAACATTTCCCCCAAGGCACCATGTCAAATATCCTAGCAAGTGAGTCTCTTACCAAGGCAGTCTAACCCCTAGAGCCAGATTCAAATATCAGAATGAGATTTGCACGTACATCTGAGTACACCCAGGGGAAAACAAGATGACATGGGAAGATGAGAAGAAAACACGGCTTCATAAAATCACAGAGCTGGACAAAAATCTTAGAGGGCATTGGGTTCAATGCTTTATACAAAGCTTGAACACCACCCCCCCCCCCCCCCGACTCTACCTAACTGCCATAAATTTTCTTTCCAAGCTTTACAGAGAAGGGGAGGTCCTGGGCCCTGTCCCCTCCTCCAGGGCAGCCCATTCTGGTTTTTGATAGCTCTGCTTGCTAGAAACTTTTGGATCCAGAGCCTGCACTTCTGAGAAAGCTGAGCACAGTCCAAAGAGACTTGGCCTGGAGCCCGAGGACTGAGTAACAACTTTGGCTGCGTTACTCACTTTGGACAAGTTATTTCATTCTTTTGGTCTTCATTTTTTTTTTTTCCTCATTTGTAGGATGGGAATAATAATGCCTAACCTGCTAAATTGCTATGGGGATATAAATTGTCCAGCACTGTGTCTGGCACACAGCACGTGCTCAGAAAGGAGAGGTGCAGAATGATGTAAGGGTAGAGCACGTTCAGCTACACAGCCACACTGTGTGGCTCTGAATCCCACTCCTTATTTCTGAATCCCACTCCGTATTTATCCACAGTGTGACACCAAGCAAGGTGCTTAACTTCTATGCCTTGGTTTCCTCGTCAATAAAATGGGTATAAAAATAGTACCTTACGCCATAAGACTGCTGTGAGGATGAAGAGGGATAACGTATTCAGAGCATGCAGAACAGTGTCTGACACACAGCAGATAATAAATGTTAAGGCTTTTTTTTTTTTTTACTAGTTAGTAGTATTTTTACAACTACTAAGAGTAATATCCTTTAGTTTCTCTGACCTCTGTTTCTTCTGTAACAAGGAGGTAAAAAATCAGCTACCCCCACAGACTTTGTGAAAATATGAAGTCACATATACACCACCTAGCACAGTTCAGGGCACAAAAACTACAGTAAACACACACGTTTATTTCCTTCCTTCTTAACCCTAGGTCTGAAATAAGAGAAAATAAAGAATTCAGTCTCTTTTCCATTTGACAGTCCTTCAAATACTGGAGGACACGTATGATAATCCCCTGACAGCTGAAGAGTCACAGTTTCTTCAGCATTCTTTGTGTGGTGGTTATTCCGTGTGTCCTCAGAATCCTGGGGATGTCCCAGGTATTGTATAATCCAATCGGTCAGAAGCCCTTCCTCTGGAGGGTCTGAATTCCCACGGGCCATGGGAATTGCGGGACCAGTGAGCTGTTTCTCAAAGACAACTGCTAGTCCAGGCGACGGAGGGCCGACAGTGCCTGACACAAGGGCAGACTTTCCTAGAGGCCTGAGCTACGTCATCTTAATCCATTTTTTAATCAAGTCTCTAGGTTCTGTGCCAAGCCGCAAGTCTTCCTCTTGAAACTCGATGGTCAAATGTTTACATATCTCACTGCATATTCAAATAAATAATCCATTCTCATTTATTCAGTCTTGGCACATTACTTTTTTTAACCCATAAAAAAATAATATGACAGTATTATTGCTTCCACTATGGAATCCTCTCCCGGCCATATGTGTTATTTTTTTCCAATAACAAATTCATACAGCCTTGCAAGTTGCATTGCTAGAGCTTCAGAAAAGCTGTGATCATGTGGTTTGTTATGACGTGGGTTTCTTTTTTAAGGCCATGTGTGCAGCAAAAGCCTCATG